CTGAATTTCTAATGACTTTTGGTGAACTGAACAACAGCAAGAGTAATTTTGGGCACCTTTGTTTTCTAATTAATTTCCAGTTTCCTGTAATACTGAATTTGTTGAGGTTTCTGCTCTGAACAGTCCCTGACTTCTGTACCTGCAGCCATTACAGAAGGGATTTGGAACTGCAGTACTTGTGCTGCCATACATTTTAGATTTTTACAATTCTGCATGTTATTCAGGTCTTTGGTTTCCATTCATGTGTGAAAGGAAAACGTGTGACTGAGTGTTCTGCTTGATAGCTTTGGCTAAGGGGCTGTGCAAGTTTCTTACCATAGTTGTGGCTAGTTGGCTGTTGCCCTACTTCTAAATGATGTACACTTTGAGCAAACATATCTGTTCTCTTGAAGCATAGAACAAAGGGAATATTTGATTTTTGTATTGGTTAGTTTGTCCAGCTAGTGTCTGTTGCTAGACTGTCTAGGTGCCCCTTCTTCAGAGCTTCAAGTGGGAAGCTAAGATGCTACAGACACAGTGCTAATATTGTCATGAAAACTGAATTATTTGCAGAGACGGCGAGGACCTGGACAGTCAGGGAGATGGTAGCAGCCAACCTGATACTATTTCAATTGCCTCACGAACCTCACAGAACACGCTAGACAGTGATAAGGTAAGTTTCCCTGGTGTTGCTCTGAGAGCAAGTGATTCATCCCTTAGCGTGAGTTAGTGCCCAGGATCAGCCCTTTAGTACCTTCAGAGGGGAGACACGGAAATATTCAATCTCTTCAAAAATAGCTCTGGGCAATAGAAGAAATATCTTGATACCACAAGGGAGCAGAGGTGATTGTTTCAATCTATCAGGTCGTGAAGGAATTACATTTGTACCAAACTGAAACCATTTATATCCCTTCTTTTCTGCAGTTTGTTCAGAGATTTGACACAGTTTAAAAAGAAAGTTTTATTTTCAAAAAAATTTGATACTGATGCACAGAATTTTTCTTGATGTCAGTCTCAGCCTTTCTGAAAGCACACCATCTGCTTTTTGTATCAGTTTGAGGTTGGTGGGTGCCCTGTAGTTACTTTTGTGAAGGAAAAATATTATCCAATGTTTAGAGGTTAGGGACTAAGAGTGTTCATATTCTGCATGATAACTGATGGAACACCGTATTAAAGACAAGTAACTCATAAGACTATCATATGGTATCAGTGCTAGTGTTTCCTTTTCTCCATCTTTACCTATAGATTCTGGCTGAGTTATGCTTCAAGGGTAACCTAGCCAGAGTATCTCATGGATGGAAGAAAGATAGGCAGCAAAGGATTAAAAATTCTTAAGAAATGTGTGTGTTACTTTGGAATTTAAAGATTTCTGTCAAGTGAAAAGTGTTAGGGCCATGCAAGAAAGTAGAGATGGGTAATAGAAGTTTGTCAAACAGACAAATGACTAAATATATAGGAACTGCATAGCAAATTATTTGAAAATATGGTTAGGGATTTCTGCCCTATTACCTCATTGGGCAAAATTGTTCTGATGAGCCATTCAAACTATACAGGTAATTAAATACCGAAATAACCAGTATATTACAGGGCAGCTAAGTGAATAGGTTCTCAGGGTAGTGATTTGACCATTCACATGATCATCTACAAGAGAGTTAGTTTTCTGTATTTTTGCATGTCACTTAAACTGTATGGTTTGATTTTTTCCATGTAAAGAAGAGGAAGACAGAAGGAAAGTATAAGATGCTTAGGGTTGCTCTTATGTTTGTCAAAAACAGCCTGTGTCTTGACCTTGTGCATTTGTACTGAAGTTGGTCTTCAGACAACTGCAGTTTTGGTGGTGGTTTCTTCTAACGATATCTGTGAGAAAAATGGTTAAGTAGAGGGGAAAAAAAAGTGTTTTGATGACTGTTTTTCTGGGTATTTTTATTTTGCCTTCTTACTTAGCTGTTTAGCAATTTACCTAAACTGTTAAAAATGCATAAAAAGTGAACTATACACCATGCAATTTTTGTAATCTGTCACACTCAAAAGCAAAGACATACTCGCTCTGATTTCCCTGATTGTTGGCCAAGATGTCAAGCTGTGTGCACGCAGCTTGGCTGAACCGTGCCCCGATTCGGGTGGGGGTGACGGAGTGCGTCCGTGCCGTGCACAGCCACTGCCCCTCTGCAGCTGTTGGTGAGGTGACATTTCCTGGGGAACAGCACGGACTGTCTCCTGCTGCCCCTCACGCTCGTATTTCCTGCATCGTGTGAGAATTGCAAACAAATCTGCCCAACTGACATGCCCTCGGGATTGTCTTCCAGTCTCACATGAAGAAGAGTCTTACCAACAACCTGTTCCACAGGATTTATAAGTTAAAAGGATGAGGAATGGAAGGAAGAAGGAATATAGAATGCTTTTAAATATTTTCCTGACAAATTAAGTTTTTAATTTGGTTACTGAGCATAGTGTTGGTTTTGAAGTATTTTTGAGTTCTCATGTTAGTATATAAATTTTTTGTTAGATTTTCTTTGACAGGAAAAACAAACTGAAAACTAGGAGAGTCCCTGAAGTTCCTTATGCTATGTATTTTATGTCCGAGGAAGGAATTCATTGTCTGAGCACTTTTAAAAAGTGTGTGAATTAGCAGAGTAGCTTTGTTTAATGTTTCTGTTGTATGTTTTGATTCGTTAAATATCTTAAGAAAGGAAATTTTTTATCTTTTTAAAAATACAAATTAAAAATTATTGAGGAACAGTAACAGGTAGAAAGCCAGTGAAATCTGTAGGATATCCTAACAGTTGATGAATCTTAAGTAGTCTCTCACTTCTTATGTTGAAAATTCAGCAGCTGCAGTCCACTTGGGGTTTAAAATGTTTCCTTAGCCTAAAAGCTAGATGTATGTATGAATGTCTTACAGAGATGGAGTAGAACAGTTTTACAGATTTTAGGTGCTGTTGATTTGGTTAGCCAGATGGAGCAGTGGAACTCCTCAGCTGAATTTGGAGCATGTCCCAAACTGAGCTGGGACTCCAAATTGAGAAACATTAAAAATATCAAGGAATTTAAAATAGTGCTAATCAAGTGGTAAAATTGTTCAACACTCTATTACTTATGCTGTTGCTGAGCATTTTTATGTTCACTTGAATCCACTATCATGACTGAGAAAAGACAACAAATACCAAACATGTCATGCTGATCAACAGCCAAGTACAAGTATTCCTTTATTTTCTCCAATTATATGTTCAGACAGTTGAATCTTTTAAAATAAATGTTTTGGTTAGAAGTACTAAGCTGTTCTACAGGAAGACTGTCAAGAATGAAATCTTTTCTCCAAAACTCAACACTCTTACTTCCTCAGAGGCACACTTTGAAAAAGCTAAAAATCCTTAGCCTTGCTAGTAAGTACTTGAGTATTGTCCAGATGAGCTTCTTCCCTTGCATCCTGTTTTCTGACATAATTGGAAATGCCTTAACAACAGAGAATAACTTTATGATTAGCTTTTTCCTTCTCCACCCTGACTTCTGGGGCTAGAATTGTATCTACTGATTGTTGGCCGTACTGTTGCATGTTGCTTTTCAGTAATGACTGGGATGATGCAATACACCATATGTTTATAAAGCTGACATCCTTCCCAGCTTCATATCATCTTAAAACTATATTGGAAGGCAGAAGTAGCACACAGAACCTTCTTGGCAAATGGAAGAAATTAATTTGCAAAATACCATGCAATTTCATAGGAACACGTTTGAGAATGTGGATAGGTGGAAATAGTTAACTAATAATGAAAGCAGGGAGAGTATTGAACAATTTTTGAGAAGATGATCTAGAAGCTATAGAGGCTCACAAGGTGTTCATTATTTCAGCTGTGTGTTGCAGTTATGGGAGGGGAGGGGAAGAGAAGCAGTCCTATATTGGCTTGTAGAAATAGGATGCTGAGCGGCAGGACACAAAGTCCTCTTTCTTTACTCGTCACTTGTAAGGCCTCTGTTAGATACAGCATCCAGTTTTGAGTACAGAATTCTAGCAAATTAGTGGTCCATTGGAAGAGTTCCAGGGGAAAGAAGAGGGAAAAAAAAAAAAAAAAAGACTACCCAATATAACTTTCAAGACAGGATAAAGAGTTGGGACTAATGAGTCTAAAGAAAAAAGGCAAGAGGAAGAACTTACGTCTTCTAATGTGCAAAAAGCTACTACACACAGTTGCAAAAGAATCTTATACCCATATTTTCAGTGGATGGGATGAGATCAAAGGACTTATCTAAAAGGTTTCAATTTTTTTTTTTTTATGGGTATGAAAATGTGAAGCCTCAGAACAGAGCAATTGTGAAAGCTGGGGAATCTCCATAACTGGAGATGCTGAGAACAGTTTGGATAAATGTTAATCATTATTCACATAGATGTAGTTTTTCATGCTCCAGAGGAAGAGAAGGAAATGGACTAGGTAACTTAAGATCCCTTTCCAGCCTGTTTTTAATGTCATAAGGTGTATCTTCACATTGCAAGACATGCTAAACACATCCATAACACTGAACCATCTGAAATATTGGAAGATAAAATGGAACCCAGAGTGCAATATAAAGTTTTTTGAGAGGGAGATTTCTACTTCATGAAAGCATCTCAGTTTTCTGAATGAGTGCTCTTGTTGTACCCTTCTTCTACTGTAGCTGTGTGGCCAGGGTTTTAGGAGGCTAACAAATAAGAGATGACACTTGTCCCTTTTGTTCCATCTTTCAACAGTTCCTAGCCTCAGAGCTTGATCTGATTTTAATGTTGTCTTTTGATTGTGATCCAATGCATAGGAAATGAAATGGGGAGTCTGAAGGGAAAAATGTAGGTCTGATATGTCTTTTCATGCTTGTTTTAAGTGAGGTAGTAGAAATGTGAAATAATCCAAAATACTGTTCTGGTAGCTGAGAAAATGAGAGGCTTTCAGAAAAAAAGCTGTCATAAGGGGTTATCCTAAATACTAGGACTCATACAAGCTGCCATGGGTGGTCAGTGGAGCAATATTTTATTCTTAAGAAATTGCCTTTTGTGCCCAGCTGGTAACACTTTGTACTGCTGCCTATGTGAATTTGTATTTCATTCTCATGCTTCTTTAAGCTTGTGTGTCATACTTTGGAAAACAGAAAAAGAACTGAAGCAGCAGGAGACAACTGAGCATTTTGTTCTGCCAGCTGAGACTGCAGAAGAGAAGAGGCTTCCATGAGTAGAAAAGATGCTAGTAGAAAGCCAGACATGGCTCTGAGTATATGGCTCTTTTCAGAGTCAGAAACCAGGCCTAGACAGCTACCTGGTTAAAGCAAATACTCTTTGAGACAGAACTTTTGTGTCTCCCATTTCATTCCTGCCACAGCGCACTTGTTGCCATTTTAAAAGGGGATTAAAGATTTTCATGCTTGAAATAATTGAGAAATCTTATTAACTGCTCTCTTTCCTTTCCCTTCTCCTTCATGTAAAATTACCATGGGACAGTAAATTTAATTTGCAGTCCTGAGAGGAGGTTATATGGCCTGATGTAAAAGCTAAAGCTGTTGTACGTGGCAAAGCTGTAAGTGGTGATCTCCCAGATAGGAATGGCAGATAGAATCATAGAATCCTTTA